TCCCCCATGATCTGCCCTGTGCACTGATTTAGTCTTCTAAGCTATGACTTTCGAATGTGGTGAGCTGGGGCAATTGTAGGACCTACCTCTTGTTTTTATCCCGTATGGATTTCTGTCCTTCATTGCTTGATGCTTGATATATTTTAAATAGTTCTTTTATTCTGTCCTTTTTAAAAAAGTCACATCTCAGATGAGAGGGTAGATTTGGCTCCTGTTATTCCATTTTATCTGGAAGTAAAAGTTCAAGCTGTTTTTTAAAAAATATTTTTTAGTTATACATGGATGCAGTATCTTTATTCTGTTTATTTACTTTTATGTGGTGCTGAGGATCCAACCCAGTGCCTCACAGATGGGGGGCAAGTGCTCTACTGCTGAGCCACACTCTGTCTTCTTTTTTTTTAATGATAATTATCAACACATATTAATCATATAAATTAATGGGTTTCATGCTAGTATTTCTACATGTGCATATATTATGTGTTAATCATGTCCATCCACTCTTCCCTGTGGCCCCTTCACAGTTTCTAATAATTCCCCTATCTTTTTTTAATTTTCAGGTTGTCTCTATCTCTCATTGTTTCTACATATGAGAGAAAACATACAATACTTGTCTATGTTTGACTCATTTTGCTAAATATATTGTCCTGTGGTTCCATCCATTTTTCTGGGAATGATAGGATTTCATTCTTCTTCATGAGTTAGTAATACTCCATCGTGTATACATACCCATATTTTCTTTATCCATTCATCTGTTGATAGGCAAGGCATCTTGGCTTTATATCTCACCTGTTGTGAGGAGTGTTGCAAGAAACATGGGTATGGAGGTATCTCTTTTTGTATGCTGACCTTATTTCCTTTAGATGTAATATCCAGGAGTGTTATAGCTGAATCATATAGTGGGTTTTTTTTTTGGTTGTTTTTTGTTTTTTATGAACCTCTGTACTGTTTTACTTGGTGGCCATACTAGTTTGATTCTCACCAACAGTGTGTAAGATTTTATTTTTTTCCTATATCCTTGCTAGTTTTTTTTTTCTTTTGGTAATAGCCACTCTAATTGGAATGAGATGGGATCTTATTGTACTTTTGATTTACATTTTTCCTGATAGCTAATGATATTGAACATTTTTTCATATATTTATTGGCCATTTATATTTCTTCTTTGAGAAGCGTCCAGATTGCCATTTTTTTATTAGATTGCTTTTTTTTTTTGTTGGTCACTTTTTGTGTATTAAAATATATTTTGGATATTAATTCTGTGTCAGAAAAATAGCTGTCAGATTTTCTCCCAGTCTGTAGGTGTCTTTTCACTGTGTTGACTGTTTCCTTAGCTATGTAGAAGCTTTTTAACTTGATGGAATCCCATTCGCCTTCTCTTTTTATCTTGTGCTTTTGGAATTGTATTCAGGAAATTATTGCCTGTGCTAGGATCTTGAATTGTTTTTGCTATGTTTTTCTCTAGTAGAGTTTTAAGTCCCGCATTAAGGTCTTTGATCTACTTTGAGTTGATTTTTGTACAAGGTGAGAGATATGGATCATTTTTCAGCTACATGGAGATATCCAGTTTTGCAGCACTATTTATGAAGCTGTCTTTTCTTCAGTAGTCTGTTTTTGGCACCTTTCTGAAGAATCAGTTAGCTAAAGAAGTGTGGATTAATTTCTGGGCATTCTGTTTTGTTCCGTTGGCCTGTGGATCTGATTTTATGCCAGTTTTGTTATTATGGCTCTGAAGTATGCCTTGAAATCAGTTTGTCACCCTTCACTATGATGTTGGAGAGTGGGGTATTGAAGTCCCTGTTACTGTATTGAGTGGGGCCTTTCTCTTTCTTTATTTCTAGTAGTATTTGTTTTATAATATTGGGCTCTTAAACATTTAGTACATATAGATTTTAGTTTTTATATCTCAATCATCACATTTATAGATTTTTTTTCCTGTGTGGTCTGTCCTGTGATTATAAAGTTCTGATATATGAAAAAAATTTCTTATCACACTTCTCACATTTGTAGGGCTTCTCAGCTATGTGGTTTTTCTGATGCATTTGGTTCTGTTCTCTCAGAAAAATTCCCTACACACAAAGCACTTGGAGGTCATTTTCCTATTTGGTATCATGATTTGGAGGGATAATTTCCTTGCAACCACTATAGTTAGAGGATTCATAATATTTTATTTGGCCATTTTGGCAATCTATTTCATTCTTCCTCTAATGGACAAGTTTAAGGTCCAAACAAGAAACTTTGCTGCTTATCAGTCGATAGAAGGTTTCTTCAAGGATAATGTTCTTCATTCAGTGTTATTATTGTTTATAAAGTGACACTTACTTTCACATAATTTCCATAACTTTAATATAGAACTTTTTTTTAGATCCTGATTGTCAACATTTCAGAGGGCTACCAACGAGCAAGCCTTTGTGCTTTTAAGTCCCTGGAATCTTCTTCTTGCAGAGTAATCTTATACTTCTCACTTCTACAAAAAGGACTGCACACTGTGTCCCCAGTCTTTGAAGGTGAGATGGCAGTGATTGGTTGTGAACCTGCACAGCTTCCCCTTGAGTCAGAATGTCATTCTGTCTTCTACACAACTGACAGGAAGCCTTTCTAGCAAGCATGCTCTTTGTTTGGCTCCAGGTATGGCAAGGTATGCCTCTGGGAATTCCCTAGAGGTAGCATGACAGTCTTCTTTTGATTCTGAAGAAGCAGTTCTCTTGTCTTCCAGATTGATGTGTCTCTTGGATTTGCAGGTTACAGTAACAGGAGTCAAAATCCACAAATAATTCCAGAAGAGGCAGAGGCAGGGTCCAGAGTGGCTGCAGAGCTGCAGAAACCTTAGAACTGTGAGTGAAGCCCTAGCCCTTGTTGTGGTCAAGCAATGGAGGTGTCCAGTGGCAGCAGCCTTCTATGCTGGGTGATGAGTCTTCCTCATCACCTGAATAGGTAGCCACTGCCAAGACAGAAGGTACTCCCTCAGTGCCCTGGCTTGCCCTGGTAGGACCATAGCCTAGCCAACCATGATCATCACTGCCCTGTGTATGGGCCTTGGGCCCTTACCATGGCCCCCAGGAGACTGTGTGAATCTGGGAAGCTGCCTGAAGGACCACAGGAGAGATGGGTTGGAGGTGTGTGGAGTCCAGCCTTGTTCACTTTGTGGGTCAGGTTGCCTTCTTAAAGGGAGGCCTTTCTGATTTTGTAATTCCTTTCTCAATAAATACCTTATATGATTCAATTTCCATACCATTAAGTTTTTATTTGGCTCTAGGCATGTCATATTTTAATTTTTTTATTTTCCGTGTTCATTGTCAATTCTGTAGACCAGAACTGTTTGAAGAATTAAAGTACCTACAATGCTATCTGGCATTTTTCAGGTTTTACTGAATGTCATTTTCTTTTCCATTTTAGTTTTTACAAAGAACAGGTTCATTTCGAAGATCTGTTTAGTTCTATATTTAATTTTGACCCATTTTAACATCCTTATTCTGATAGTTTTAAACACTCTTTTGTGCATTTTATTGCACAACTATGAAAATATGACAGCTCCTTACTGATGATTTGTTCAATGCAATGAAAATTCAACACATAATTTCATAATGTTCATTTACTTTTAACTCACCATTACCAACATTTCACATTGTTTTGAGAAAATTATAGGTATGAATTTATGATATTTTTAAAAATTTTTACTTTGTTTTTACTCTATGAATATTATTATAAATAGAGGTTCACGTTTGCTTTATTTGTGTCAAACTAAAGTGTAACTATTAAGAACTTCGTCTTACTGGTCTTTTGCTGAGTATTTACTTGGTCATGGATGATTGTTTCAGCTGTTACTGTGAACCAATGTCCATCTTAAATCTTCTGATTCATTAGCTCTTTACCTTTTCCTGCATTTGGTCATGCTGCCTCTATTTTATCACTAATGTATGCAACTTTTACTTTATTGCCTTGTTTTTGGTTTTAATCTCCTGAGTAGTTTTTTCATAGGTGCATATTTTATTACATTATGTAGATTGTAAAATTACCTGTTGAAGAGATGAGCTTGTTTTTAAATTTTATACCCATGAAGAACTTGGTACTGTGGGTGTCTAGTAGGCATTCAACAAATGCTTAATTGTGAGTGAAATGCTTAGTTAAGTTTGATAGCATACATATTTTTAATATAAATTAACTGTAGTTGTTGATTTCTCACTTAAAGGTTCTATAGTTTATAGCCTTGCATTTTTAAAATTATTGAAATTGTCATTTTTTCAGTAATTTATTTTTAAAAAACAACTTGAATTACAGGTTTTCCACAGTGATATGTATTTTTATAGCTGATTAATGGCAGCTGATTTCACTGTGAGTATTTATGTTCAAAAATATAATATATGTATATTCAATTTTTAGGACTATTCCTTTGTCTTCTCTGTGGATATAAGAATTTTTGAGATAATAGTTACTTTCTTTGGTGCCTCATGGCTGACAAACATTAAGAGCTCATTCTTCTTTTCCAAATTTCTGAGTTCCAAAATGTTTTACACTTGTTGTATTACTTAAATATGAGGATGATAGCTTGATAGAACTGAAACACTTTAATGTCAGAAAGTTAATAAATTATCTATAGAATTTTGCAGTTATGAAATTAATCTGTTGAAACTTGTTTTTCTTTTAGTACCTTTACAAGCCAGGGCCAATGATTCTTGATAGTATGGTTTCTTTGTGAATTTTCTCAGGGTCAGTGATACATATCATTCATGTAACTTCTGACATAAAGACTTAGACAATGTTAATTTTCTTCTTTTTCTTTCTTAAAAATTTTTGGTACTTTTACTATTTCAGTCTTCTTCATATCTAATTTGAAGCGGAAGGGAAAATGAATATGGAGAAACACCATATGTAATTGATGCTCTTAACAAGAATAAGTTTGGAATAGATTAATAGAATTACTTATCTGAGAAGATTGTATGAATTTACTATTGTAGATTAATTTTACTAGTTTTGTTGTTGTTTGTGTTTTCTTGTTGTGTTGACAGGGTTGCTTTAGACACTCTTGCTGCATTGCTAAAATCAAGTAAGTTTTTAAATACTAGAAATACTAGATACTATTTTCCTGAGCATTCTATTTACTATGTTAAAGAAACTGGAAATGTAGATTTAGTTTAGTTTTAAAGCTGATTTTTAATATTCTATTGTTGAAATTGATTTCATCTTCTAGTGCAGTTGATATATATTACTAATGCTATATGTTTTTTGAATTTGTTCAGTACATTTGAATAATTTATTTAAGCACATTTATTTCCTATTTCTAAGGTATTTATATAAACATGAAGCTGTATTAATAAAGTAAAATAAATAAATATCATGTATCATTTATTGAAAGAGTAAAACTAACATGATATTGAGATTTTTATTATGAGAAATATAACTTTTACTATGAGTTGTACTCTTTATATAGCACATGATTTTAACCTAGAGCCTTTTAATAGAAATTTTATTTCTTGCACAAATTCAAATTGATAACATTTAAAAAGTGGCTGTTAATGTAGATGTATAGTCTAAAAAATTTATTTAGAAAATAAATTACTTAATATCTTAACAATTAAGGCATTAGAGTAGAATGTGTCTTATGATGCTTTTGGAGAATAATCATTTTTCCCCCCTCTACATTTTTTTTCAGTATCTATTTTAAATTTCATATTCAGGGCTGGCGATATAGCCTGGTGGTAGAGCACTTTCCTGGCATGTACAAGACCCTGGGTTCAATCCCCAGTTCACTGCCCCCACCCCTCAAATCCCCCATTGTTAGTCTTATGGATGATTGATTGAATAAATTAACATTTGAGTCTTAACATTTAACCTGTTGATGGAGTTCCGTTCTCCCTCCTCCTAAGATAGGCGTTTATTCAAGATCTTTCAAGGATGAGACCTACTTGCCCTTAAATCTGAATTGTTAGAATTGTTTTTTTTTTAAATACTAGCAAATAATTATTTAAAATCTGATATTTAGTAAAGTAATGTCTTGTTAAATTTCGGAAATCACCATAGTATTTATACACCTGAGTTTTCACTTAACAAATTTACTCTTGAAATGAAACACAGGATACTCATGTAGGTTGACTCTGTAGCTTTATTTTCATGTGACATGGTAAACTTTAAACCAAGATCACATACATGAATTTACTGATTATTTGTCACCTTGCTTTGTTGTCTCTGATTTTGTAATTCAAATTGTATAAAGAGTAAATCTGATTTGAAATGGATTAGAATAGCTATTTAAAAGTTTATTAAAGCATACTAATTTTCTGAATCATTGATAACAGAGTTATTAATTCTGAGTCAGTGCAAACTAAAACTCTCAGAAGTTTCAAATATTTTGTAGAAATTGGTTAACCTAAGATGATTGAAGTCTGATGTTTTTCAGTTTTAAGTAATAGTCTTCCTTTTATACCCTCTCTTCTTTTTAAAGAAGAATGCTGGGCAGACATACTTGTTTAGTCTATCAGGATAAAAAAAGTAATTGATAAGTGGTTTATATTTAATGTAGTTTCAAATTATATATGACATTAAATAAGATGAAATTTAATAATACAAAATAATATTTAGTAGCACATTACATTTATTTAAATGGACCATTGCATTTTGTAGCATTTTCACTTATTTATATTTTTCAAAATTCCTTTTTTTTGTGTGTGGGGCAACAATAATTTACTTTAAAAGAGTAAATTTGACTACTGAAATAAATGTGGATAGACAGTTCAGTTATCAGTGCTGGTAAACTTAAATTTTCTTTTAATTAGAGATGAGGAAATAGGCCAATAGTGAGTTGTGTGCCCTGAACACATGAATAAAAATCCTTGTATAATCTGTTGTAATTGTGCTCAGTACAGACTGTAGGTGGCTCTGTTCATTTCCTTTAAGGATCACCTCAGTACCTTTTTGAATTATAGCTGAGTTTCTTATATGATCTTTCATAAAGAATTTAAACATTTTCATGAAGACCATTTGGACTATTGGGAATTCCCACAAAAACACATAATGTGTAATAGTTATAGTGATCATAGCAACTTTTAGCAAAATCATGTTTACAGCTAGTAAAGGCTTGTAAATTTCAGTTGGTATAAACAAAGTGTATATTCATTTAAATATATGAAATGTTTGTTGGTCAAAACAATTGAACTGCAGGCACAGTGTAGCATTCCTATAATCCAAGCAGCTCAGGAGGCTGAGGCAGGAGAATCTCAAATTCAAGGACTGCCTCAGCAACTTATTGAGAGAGACCCTGAGCAGCAACTCTCTGAGACCCCATCTCTAAATAAAATACAAAATAGAGCTGGGGATGTGGCTCAGTGGTCCCTGAGTTCAATCCCTGGTACCCAAAACAAAACAAAACAAAAAATCCAATTGAACTGATTTTGTAAATAGCCACAGCCTTAGTAAATTAGCTATTTTCACAATAGGGATTTAAAAGCTTTCACATATGAGAGAGGCGTTTCTTCCCTTGATGAGTTTCTTCCTTCTCTAATAACAGAATGTAGTTCTGAAAGGGAATTAGTATGTTTATCTCAGTTTAATGTTTTGGCTTACTTGGACAATAGAATAATTCTTTCAGGCAACTCAAATCATTATCTTCTTCATATCCAGGCCATAGATCAGAGGTCATTTTGTGGGTGAAATTGAGATTAAGAAGAGACTAGAGGGCTGGTGATTTAGCTTAGTGGTAGAGTGCTTTCTACATGACAATAGTTAAATGTCCAAACACATGTTTTATGTTTACCCTTAGTATTTTTTAGAGCAATCATATATATACCTGTTTTTACTCTTCCTAATCCAGACAGTGATGGATATTTGATATTATGAGGAAGAGTTAGGTGACTAGGCCCTGGGTTCAATCCCCAGCACTGCAAAAAAGAGAGGGGGGAAAAAAAGAAATCAGAATTTCATTGTAGTTAAACAACATGAGATGGATTAATATTCCAAAGTTGTAGCCTTTATTATCCACTCTCCAAAGTAACACTGGGTGGCTCAATATGTTGCTATGATATAAATTCTTTGCTGCTATCTTAGTAAAATGCACTCTTTTGGTTAATAATTTTAAATATTAATACTTTAAAAATAATAAAATTAGGTTGAATTTGTGGATTCATTTCTGTTAATTATATCCCAATCAAATTGATCATTTACAGAAAACCTTTAATGTAGTTCTCATTATATTCAAAATTTAATTCCTCGAATGACTATTTTCTAATCATGTAATGCTCCTTCCCTTTCATTTACTGCAAAGTTGTTTAAGTATTTTTAACTTAGCATTGTTATGGCATGGATGTTTCTATAATTGTGGGATAACTAGAGCAATTAATTTCAGTGGAAACAAAGTTTGTATAGGAATTACATTTTAATGGTGGTAATTTCATTGGGAATACCAATTTTGTGACAGAAGTTAATAAAAGTGATAACAGCATTTAACAAAATAATATTCACAGCTAGTAAGTTAAAAGCTTATACATTTCATTTGGGTTATTGTCAGTATATTCATAAGTTTTAAAATATAGGAAGTTTTTTTGATTTAAAAAGATGTAAACATAATTTAATGAAGAATTTTGGTATTTAGAAATCATTAAACAATATATGGGCAGGAAAATTTCTGGAAAACGTAATGCTTTCTGGAACTTGTCATATTTAATTTCTTAGAAAAACATATTTAAATATGTAGTTGCCTTTCATCACAGTTGAGGTTATACTTTTAATTTGATTTATTCCAGTACTTTCTCTTGTCATTTAAAAAATATTCTTTCTCAATTTCTTTTGTTAAAGAAACAAATGCCAGGAGAGCTGTAGACAGAGGATATGTCCAAGTGCTTTTAACAATTTATGTAGATTGGCATCGCCATGATAATCGGCATAGAAACATGCTCATTCGGAAAGGAATTTTACAGAGCTTAAAAAGTGTTACAAACATCAAGTTGGGAAGAAAAGCATTTATTGATGCCAATGGGATGAAAATTCTTTATAACACTTCACAAGTGAGTTATTTTCTTACTATTACTCTACTTATGTACTAATGATATGGTTTGGTTCTTAAGAAAATTAATTTGCAAATACTCAGAAAGGGTATATGTTATATATTTATATTTAAAAAATATCAAAACCAAAAGGCACAATCATTTCTCACTCAGACTGACTTTGAGAAGGTAGTCAGTGCACATCTCTGCAATGTGAGATTTTGCCCTCAGAAGATTAAAGGAAGATGTATAAAACCACCTATTGGATTCCATATAACTTTCTAGAATGTGTAGTCAGCTGTACATAACTCAGTTTTATGTAGATCCTATACAGCTGTTGGGGCAATTCTGTTGTTTTTGAGTATTCTGCTTATTTTCCTGCTGGGAAATAAGACTAAGAATAAGAATAAATAGAGAAGCTACTGTAGGGAAACCTGGAGTTCTAGTTCTGCCAGCCATCTTCAGCATTAAACATTTTTGACAGTATATTTAGTGAGATGTTTTCTAGCATCTGTAGAAGACTCAGGTATGGGCTATAGGAATGTTGTAATGCAACCCTCTTGTTTTTAGAAGTTCATAAATTTGTCCTTTAGAAAATGCCAGATAGTTGTCCTGGTTGTGCTGTCTTGGCTTTTACTCATGATAAATCATCTTTCTACATGACAATAGTTAAATGTCCAAACACATGTTTTATGTTTACCCTTAGTATTTTTTAGAGCAATCATATATATACCTGTTTTTACTCTTCCTAATCCAGACAATGATGGATATTTGATATTATGAGGAAGAGTTAGGTGACTTAATATTTTGGGGCCTTAATTTCTCATTTGTTTTGACAGATCAAATGTGAAACTGTGTATTGAAAATTTTACTATGCATCAAAAGTGCCATCTGAATGTCAGCTGTTAACTAATAATAATGTAATATGACATAATTGAAATCCCCTATGTCTTCACCCTTCTCAAAATAGATTTTTCTGGCAGCAAATCACTCTTAAATTTTTAAATTAGTATATTTAGGCTGTTCTTGCATAAGCTGAATAGCCAACTTATGAGAGGTGCATTGTATGAAAACAGATATAGTTCTGAGAGCGTTTCAGGCAAATGCATGTTGGCTTATATTTCTTACTTTCTTAATATTTTTCCCCCTTCTCATGTCCCCTAAATAATTTATATATAGTACTATGGCGACTTTCAGTATCAAAAATGGTACTGACTTCTGCATAGTTAAGATGTTTAGGGAAAAGTTCTACTAAATTTGCCCTACATGATATTCCTATTTATAAATAGACACTGTGAACAGTAAAGCTGTTTTACAATTATCCTGTGTTGTAATATTGGTTTTTGTGATGTTTGTCTCTAGAAAATTTTTAACGTTAATTTTCTTTTTCTGGAATAAAGTAAAATTGGTTTCGCTACTCACCAAAGATATATTGTCTTTTTTTTTTTAACAGGAATGTTTGGCAGTCAGGACTCTTGATCCTCTTGTCAACACCTCCAGTCTTATAATGAGGAAGTGTTTCCCCAAAAATCGCCTGCCACTCCCAACGATTAAGAGTTCTTTCCATTTCCAGTTGCCAGTTATTCCTGTTACTGGACCTGTGGCACAGTTGTACAGTTTACCACCTGAAGGTAGGACCACAGGGTGAATGCTGTCTCCCATTGGAACTGTGTGTCTGTTGATAGTTTTTCTTTATTTGTGCCTAATTATTTGGCAAAGAGGGTTTTAATGAACCTGATAAACCTTTACATATTATTTTAGTTAATAAATATTTCTTTTTTTTTTTTAATTTTTTATTGTTGGCTGTTCAAAATATTACATAGTTCTTGATATATCATATTTCACAATTTGATTCAAGTGGGTTATGAGCTCCCATTTTTACCCCATATACAGATTGCAGAATCACATCAGTTACACATCCATTGATTTACATATTGCCATACTAGTGTCTGTTGTATTCTGCTGCCTTTCCTATCCTCTACTATCCCCCTCCCCCCCTCCCCTCCCCTCCCCTCCCCTCCCCTCCCCTCCCCTCTTCTCTCTCTGCCCCCTCTACTGACATTCGTTTGTCCCCCTTATATTATTTTTCCCCTTCCCCTCACTTCCTCTTGTATGTACTTTTGTATAACTCTGAGGGTCTCCTTCCATTTCCATGCAATTTCCCTTCTCTCTCCCTTTCCCTCCCACCTCTCATCCCTGTTTAATGTTAATCTTCTTCTCATGCTCTTCGACCCTACTCTGTTCTTAGTTACTCTCCTTATATCAAAGAAGACATTTGGCATTTGTTTTTTAGGGATTGGCTAGCTTCACTTAGCATAATCTGCTCTAATGCCATCCATTTCCCTGTCAATTCTATGATTTTGTCATTTTTTAATGCAGAGTAATACTCCATTGTGTATAAATGCCACATTTTTTTTATCCATTCATCTATTGAAGGGCATCTAGGTTGGTTCCACAGTCTTGCTATTGTGAATTGTGCTGCTATGAACATCGATGTAGCAGTGTCCCTGTAGCATGCTCTTTTTAGGTCTTTAGGGAATAGACCGAGAAGGGGAATAGCTGGGTCAAATGGTGGCTCCATTCCCAGCTTTCCAAGAAATCTCCATACTGCTTTCCAAATTGGCCGCACCAATTTGCAGTCCCACCAGCAATGTACAAGTGTACCCTTTTCCCCACATCCTCGCCAGCACTTGTTGTTGTTTGACTTCCTAATGGCTGCCAATCTAACTGGAGTGAGATGGTATCTTAGGGTGGTTTTGATATGCATTTCTCTGACTGCTAGGGATGGTGAGCATTTTTTCATGTACTTGTTGATTGATTGTATGTCCTCCTCTGAGAAGTGTCTGTTCAGGTCCTTGGCCCATTTGTTGATTGGGTTGTTTGTTCTCTTATTGTCTAATTTTTTGAGTTCTTTGTATACTCTGGATATTAGGGCTCTATCTGAAGTGTGAGGAGTAAAGATTTGTTCCCAGGATGTAGGCTCTCTATTTACCTCTCTTAGTGTATCTTTTGCTGAGAAAAAACTTTTTAGTTTGAGTAAGTCCCATTTGTTGATTCTAGTTATTAACTTTTGTGCTATGGGTGTCCTATTGAGGAATTTGGAGCCCGACCCCACAGTATGTAGATCGTAGCCAACTTTTTCTTCTATCAGACGGCGTGTCTCTGATTTGATATCAAGCTCCTTGATCCATTTTGAATTCACTTTTGTGCATGGCGAGAGAAAGGGATTCAGTTTCATTTTGTTGCATATGGATTTCCAGTTTTCCCAGCACCATTTGTTGAAGATGCTATCCTTCCTCCATTGCATGCTTTTAGCCCCTTTATCAAATATAAGGTAGTTGTAGTTTTGTGGATTGGTTTCTGTGTCCTCTATTCTGTACCATTGGTCCACCCGCCTGTTTTGGTACCAGTACCATGCTGTTTTTGTTACTATTGCTCTGTAGTATAGTTTGAAGTCTGGTATCGCTATACCGCCTGATTCACACTTCCTGCTTAGCATTGTTTTTGCTATTCTGGGTCTTTTATTTTTCCATATGAATTTCATGATTGCTTTCTCTATTTCTACAAGAAATGCCGTTGGGATTTTGATTGGCATTGCATTAAACCTATAGAGAACTTTTGGTAATATCGCCATTTTGATGATGTTAGTTCTGCCTATCCATGAACAGGGTATATTTTTCCATCTTCTAAGATCTTCTTCTATTTCTCTCTTTAGGGTTCTGTAGTTTTCACTGTATAAGTCTTTCACCTCTTTTGTTAGGTTGATTCCCAAGTATTTTATTTTTTTTGAAGATATTGTGAATGGAGTGGTTGTCCTCATTTCCATTTCAGAGGATTTGTCGCTGATATACAGGAATGCCTTTGATTTATGCGTGTTGATTTTATATCCTGCCACTTTGCTGAATTCATTTATTAGCTCTAATAGTTTCTTTGTAGAGCCTTTTGGGTCTGCTAGGTATAGAATCATATCATCTGCAAATAGTGATAATTTAAGTTCTTCTTTTCCTATATTTATGCCTTTAATTTCTTTCGTCTGTCTAATTGCTCTGGCCAGTGTTTCGAGAACTATGTTGAACAGAAGTGGAGAGAGAGGGCATCCCTGCCTTGTTCCAGATTTTAGAGGGAATGCCTTCAGTTTTTCTCCATTCAGAATGATGCTAGCCTGAGGCTTAGCATAGATTGCTTTTACAATATTGAGGTATGTTCCTGTTATCCCTAGTTTTTCTAGAGTTTTGAACATAAAGGGATGCTGTACTTTGTCGAATGCTTTTTCCGCATCAATCGAGATGATCATATGGTTCTTATGTTTAAGTCTATTGATGTGGTGAATAACATTTATTGATTTCCGTATATTGAACCAGCCTTGCATCCCAGGGATGAATCCTACTTGATCATGGTGCACAATTTTTTTGATATGTTTTTGTATCCGATTCGCCAGAATTTTATTGAGGATTTTTGCATCTAGGTTCATTAGAGATATTGGTCTGTAGTTTTCTTTCTTTGAAGTGTCTTTGTCTGGTTTAGGTATCAGGGTGATGTTGGCCTCGTAGAATGAATTTGGAAGTTCTCCCTCTTTTTCTGTTTCCCGAAGTAGCTTGAAAAGTATTGGTATTAGTTCCTCTTTAAAGGTTTTGTAAAACTCTGCTGTATACCTATCCGGTCCTGGGCTTTTCTTAGTTGGTAGTCTTTTTATGGTTTCTTCTATTTCCTCAATTGATATTGGTGTGTTTAGGTTGTCTATATCCTCCTGACTCAATCTGGGCAGATCATATGATTTAAGAAATTTATCTATGCGTTCACTATCTTCTAATTTATTGGAGTATAAGGATTCAAAATAGTTTTTGATTATCTTCTGTATTTCTGAAGTGTCTGTTGTGATATTGCCTCTTTCATCCCGTATGTTACTAATTTGAGTTCTCTCTCTTCTTCTCTTCGCTAGCATGGCTAAGGGTCTGTCGATTTTGTTTATTTTTTCAAAGAACCAACTTTTAGTTTTGTCAATTTTTTCAATTGTTTCTTTTGTTTCGATTTCATTAATTTCAGCTCTGATTTTAATTATTTCTTGCCTTCTACTTCTTTTGCTGTTGTTTTGCTCTTCTTTTTCTAGGATTTTGAGATGAAGTATGAGATCATTTATTTGTTGGTTTTTTCTTTTTTTAAGGAATGAACTCCAAGCAATGAATTTTCCTCTTAGAACTGCTTTCAATGTGTCCCATAGATTCCGATATGTTGTGTCTGTGTTTTCATTAATCTCTAAGAATTTTTTAAATTTCCTCCTTGATGTCTTCTATAACCCATTGATCATTCAGTAACCTATTGTTCATTCTCCAAGTGATGTATTCTTTTTCCTTCCTTCTTTTATCGTTGATTTTCAGTTCCATTCCATTATGATCAGATAGGATGCATGGTATTATCTCTACTCCTTTATATTGTCTAAGAGTTTCCCTGTGACATAATATATGATCTATTTTTGAGAAGGATCCATGTGCTGCTGAGAAAAAAGTGTAACTGCTTGATGTTGGGTGGTATATTCTATGTATGTCAATTAAGTCTAGGTTATTAATTGTGTTATTGAGTTCTATAGTTTCCTTATTCAACTTTTGTTTGGAACATCTTTCCAGTGGTGATAGAGGTGTGTTGAAGTCTCCCATGATTATTGTATGGTGGTCTATTAGACTCTTGAACTTGAGAAGAGTTTGTTTGACGAACATAGCTGCACCATTGTTTGGGGCATAAATATTTATGATTGTTATGTCTTGTTGGTGTATGGTTCCCTTGAGCAGTATGTAGTGTTCCTCTTTATCCCTTTTGATTAACTTTGGCTTGAAATCTATTTTATTTGATATGAGTATGGATACTCCTGCTTGTTTCCGAAGTCCATATGAGTGATATGATTTTTCCCAACCTTTCACCTTCAGCCTATGTATGTCTTTTCCTATCAGATGGGTCTCCTGTAGGCAGCATATTGTTGGGTCTTGTTTTGTGATTTCCATTCTACTATCCTGTGTCTCTTGATTGGTGAGTTTAAGCCATTAACATTTAGGGTTATTATTGAGATATGGGTTGTTCTTCCAGCCATATTTGTTTATTTATGTTACTAAACATGGTTTGTTTTCCTCTTTGATTATTTTCCCCCCTTTAGTGTCCTACCTCCCACTGTTGGTTTTCATTGTTATTTTCCATTTCCTCTTCCTGTAATGTTTTGGCGAGGATGTTTTGAAGAGATGGTTTTCTAGCTGCAAATTCTTTTAACTTTTGTTTATCGTGGAAGGTTTTAATTTCATCTTCCATCCTGAAGCTTAATTTCGCTGGAAACACAATTCTTGGTTGGAACCCATTTTCTTTCAGTGTTTGAAATATGTTATTCCAGGATCTTCTAGCTTTCAGAGTCTGTGTTGAAAGATCAGCTGTTATCCTGATTGGCTTACCCCTAAATGTAATCTGCTTCCTTTCTCTTGTAGCTTTTAAAATTCTCTCCTTATTCTGTATGTTGGGCATCTTCATTATAATGTGTCTAGGTGTGGGTCTCTTATGATTTTGCACATTCGGCGTCCTGTAGGCTTCTAGGATTTGGGGTTCTGTCTCATTCTTCAAGTCTGGGAAGTTTTCTCGTATTATTTCATTGAATAGATTGCTCATTCCTTTGGTTTGAAACTCTGTCCCTTCCTGTATCCCAATGACTCTTAAATTTGGTCTCTTGATGTTATCCCATATTTCTTGGATGTTCTGCTCATGGTTTCTTAACAGTCTTGCTGAGCTGTCTATGTTCTTTTCAAGTTGAAATACTTTATCTTCATTGTCTGATGTTCTGTCTTCTAAGTGTTCTACTCTGCAGGTAGTATTCTCAATTGAGTTTTTAAGTTGGCTTATTGCTTCCTGCATTTCTAGGATTTCTGTTTGTGTTTTATAACCTCTATTTCCCTGTATAGTTGATCTTTTGCTTCTTGGATTTGTTTATGTAATTCATTGTTGAAGTGATCTTTCATTGTCTGATTTTGCTGTCTGATGTCTTCCTTGAGACTCCAGATCATCTGAAGCATGTATATCCTGAATTCTTTATCTGACATTCCATCTGCTGCAGCTATTACCTCTTCTAACGTTGAGTTGACCTGCAATGCTTGTGGTCCTTTCTTTCCTTGTCTCTTCATACTGTTCGCGTTCCTTTCTACTTGGTGAAACTGTTGTGCTATTGAATTTTCCCCCTATATATTTATATTGGTCTTGTATAGTTGCAAAGTCTCCCTCGCAGCCGCGGGCGGCGGCTCTGCCCCTCCTCCAGTTGGGGCAATGTGCCTACCACGACGGCAGGCCGCTGGGCCTGCTCTGCCGGTCAGTAGCAGGTGCGCCGACCTTGCAGGCGCGGGCGGCGGCTCTGTCCCTCTGCGGGCCGCTAGGCTTGTTCTGTCGGTGGTCGCAGTTCTGTCTACTTTGCAGGCGCAGGCAGCGTTACTGCCCCTCTGCAGGCCTCTGGGGCTGTACTGCCAGTGGGTCGCAGTTCCGCCTACCTTGCAGGCGCGGGGGGGGGGAGGCGGCTCTACCCTTCCTCAGGCCACTGGGCCTGTTCTGTCTCTCGGTTGCAGGTCTGGCCTGTTCTGATGGTGGTCACAGTTCCGTCTACCTTGCAGGCGCGGGGGGGAGGGGGCGGCTCTGCCTCTCAGCAGGCCGCTGCTCCTCTTCTCAGTAAATATTTCTTTAATATGAGAAATTGAACTCTACTAATTTAGGGAAATAGCATAGGATGTTTTACATATATGTAAATGTCCATTATGAGAAACTTTAAATATCACTTAAGAACATTACTTGATACTTTATATAAATTCTCAAAATATAAGTTAAGAACATTAAACTGTCTTGGTAATTATGTTTAGTTTTACATTTGTTGCACATTAGTGAACTTTTTTTTAAGTTAAAAAAACTGAATCCCCCAAATTGTTATAGTTTATGCTCAATGAAAACTTGCACATAACTTGTCTGCAAGAAAGTTTGACTCATTTCTTTTAATGGTTACATTATAAGGATGTAGTATAATTTATCTAACTAGTTTCTTACTAAAAGATATTTGTTTCCTATATTTTACTTTTTCATATTAACAAGATACAGATATTTTAGAAGTGAGTAACCGGAATTTTGATGTATATTCCCTGGTTTTAATTTTTTGATTAAACTACAGTAATTAATGTTATTAATTATTGGTAATGCTATAAGAATTTCATCGCATGTTTGGAATAGAAGATCTCATGCACTCTAAGCTGTATGATATTTGATATTTCATATTTGGGGTATAAACCCAAAGGAAAATATTATATAAAGGAAATATTAGAAAAGTTTTGGATAAAAATTAAGAACATAATTTGTCTCAGAAGCTGAACTGTATTTTCTTTTCTCGCTGTCCAAGAAATAATTTTTCCTGTTTACAGTAGGCTTTACTGAATTCAGTCCCTTAACTTTTTCCTAAGATGTTCTTTGTTCCCTCTCTTTCTCCAAATGTCAGTTCTTGTTTATTCATGACTGACTGTTGTTAGGGTATAGGTATAAATAGACCCAGGTTACCATATGCAATATGAATACACATTTTTTTGTTATTTCAGAAAAGAATTTGAGACAATTTGATACTGTTAAAGTAGCCCAGTAGCATATTACTCAAATAATTATCATAAAAATTTTTATAACACAGTCTTTGCCTGAAAGTTTACATATATTAACTCTTACAATACAAGAACATTGGGAGTCAGCATATTCGTTTTTTTTTTTTTTTTTTTTTTTTTTAGATGAGGAAACTAAGATACAAATAACTTATGTGACTGCTTAAGATCAAATAGCCAGTAAGTTGGGTAGCCAGGCTTTGAATTCAGGAATTCTGTCCCCAGATCCCCTTTGCAATGCCACCTCAAGTTAGAAAGTTTTTTTTTTTTTTTCTCCTTCAAATGTCTATCAAGAAGATTGGCAGGTAATCCCTAGGCAGTAGACCTCTGTTGTACTAGCTCATCAAAGGATGTTTTTAATTATTTCCTATGGTGGTTTCCTCATGTGTATGTGGAAAATGGGAATGAAAAAAAGAATGGTGAGGATAATTTTCTTTTTAAAGAATGGGACCTGTGATTTGTATTTTTGCAAAAATCATTCATATGAATGACTGTAAATACTGCATTGGAGGCTGGAATCCCTGTTGCAGAGGTTCTGTTGGTAAAAGAAAGGAAAGGAGAGCAGATTCTAAAGGGATAGTCAATAATCTTTACTATATATATCACATTGTAAATGGAAGTCAAAAGAATTTGGGTAGATATCTTTAAACAAATATTTTCTGTATTGTTTACAAGCACTGATGCTTACATGAGAAACCTCAAAGTACTCTTGCTGTTTTTCCCTTGTCTTCCCCACATCCGTGGACCTTGTTTTTGTTTTTCTTTTTTTTTACATTCTATTCTTTGAGTTCTTCTTTAATGTGTATTCTTCCTTCATTCCCATTATTGTTAATATTGTTTTAGTTAGGTTTTGTCTTCCCTTCTATTAATTGGCCTTGTTCCACTCATATGCTCCCTCTCTCACACCTGCCAGAATGATCATTTGAAAATGCAAGTTGAATTAAACCATTCTCCTCTTGAAAATCTTCAGTGCTTATCTTTCGTAGGTTAAAAAAATCTAAACTATGGTCTACATTATTATAGTCTTCATTTTCTTATTCTTACTTGCCTTTTAGTACTTTCCTAATCAGATAGTGCATGCTAGTCCTACTCATTATATTCCAAAGATATCATCTTATTTCCTTATTTTAGAATTATTATTTCTTCTTCTTAAAAACCATACCTACCTACCTTTATATTTACTTACAAGTCTGTTATACTTACTTCGAGTTACTGCTTAAGTACCACCTGTTCTGTGAAGTGATCAATCCCTTAGCTTTAAGCAGTTTGCAGTTAGCTATTACATCTTTGTTTTCCCATAGAATTTTGAATTTTATGCCTTCAGTAACATTTTTCTTCTGTATTTATAATTACTTCTTTGCTCTTTCTGCTCTCAAGCCTCATGAGCTCCCTGAGGGTAGAGATTATATTAACACATCTCTAAAAATATTTCTTACATACAACATAGTATTTGGCACATAGTTATTGAAATAAACAGGAGGGTAATTATAAAAGGATGAAGTGAGTCATTGAAATTTATCATAAATAGGAAACAGGATGTTTCATTCAGGATACTATAAGATAAGACATTTACTATTTTTCTTTAAACTGAGAACATTAATAAAAAAACTAATTTATTCTTGTAATATTTGCTAAATTTAAAAGCACTTTCACATACTATCTCATAGGTTTTTCCAATAGTTGGTTGAGCCTTCGTGACATTTTTAGTAAGAAATCTCATTTATTTTTGTTATTGAAATACTTTATGCATATAACATTCTGCTTTGAATGTGCATATTGTAGAATGCTTACTTATAGCACATTTTGTATCACAGTGGATGACGTAGTAGATGAAAGTGATGACAACGATGATATTGATTTAGAAGCTGAAAGTGAGATGGAAAATGAAGATGACCTAGAACAAAATTTTAAGGTTAGTAAATTTTTATTAGTCACCTTTGTAAATTATATACTTCAGTTGTAAAACAAAGGTTTGGGAAACACACACACACACACACACACACACACACATAATGGTAGACCAATTTGTTTTAATCCGTATTGTTTTGTTACAGCTTATTATGGACACTAAGTAATTGAAAAACTAAGGCTGCTTTAAATCCACTGATCTGAAACAGACCCTAAAGAAAATTTTTTTCACTGTTTTTGACCAGAAAGATTTTATTAAACCCTCTTACTTAGATTTTGAAACCTAAGGAAATCTAAGGAAAGGTTAAGATCTAAAGTTTGAGACTCTATTTTGCAAACTTATTTCAAAATGCATAACTTTCCGTCAACAGTCTGGGATATAAAAATAGTGGGAAAATATAATCTATAACTGATGCATTTTTGTTAGAATTTGTGTTTACTTAACGATTCTTAGGTTTTAGTTAATTGCAAAAGATGGGAAGTATTTACTGAATTGAGAAAATGTGAAATTATTGTCATATTACAAGAGATGTAGGTAAAATAAGCAGGTGGGTATCAGAATTTTATGGCACTTCTGAAAGCTTAGAAACTGCTTTGTGTTATTTAATGGTAAAGGGGGCTACTATAACATCTGTAGAAAAATGGTCCCTTTAATTTTTAAACTGTTTGGCTTATTGCGTAGTTTGATTTTCTGGCGAGGGAGGCTTAGACTCCTGCCTGCTTAGGCTTTTTCTTTTTAGGTCTTGAAATACTGCATTAAAAATGGGGCACACTAAGTAAGTATTCGACTCTCCTGAATTGAAGATACTGAAAATTTCTATTGTAATAGCAGATATAGAACCAGTTTCATCAATTTCATTATAGAACCAGATGTGATCACCAAGGCATGCTTTGGCAGAATTATCAAATTAGCCAAGTCAATGTCTGCATCTGACCTCAAGAAGGAAAATAGTTCAGGCTTTGATGGTCAAGGCATTTGGGGGAACCACATATTTGGCTCTGAACCTGATATAAGAGAAAGAACTGTTAGAATCCCAGTTAGAATTTAAATTCTCTCTATAAAAATGTGCCTTAGATAAGAGGAGCTATATAAAATGTAACCTGGATTCTTTGGAAAGTATTTGGGGGAAGTAAAATTTCCTAGCTTAATACTACATTTTCCAGAATAACTTTAAAAATATTGCCTCTTAATACAAGTCTTTCTTACATATTTTCACATCTATTAAAAACAAAATATGTTCAGTATAATTCATATTTCATGTCTCAGTTCTTATTTCAAATATCTGTTATCAGAGATATAAAGACAGAAATTGGTGAGGAATAAAACTCAATAGGAATTATAACAGCAACTGAGTTTGCTTCTGGAAAATTGTAGACATATACACACAAGTAACACACTTAAAATATTTTTTACTATTTGCGAGTATGTTGCATGTATCATTTATCTTGGTGTTTTTTCCATAAATACATCAATATAACCATATATAGTTAACAGCTTCATAAGTTTACAGTGACATTTGTCTAATCTGTCATCTGTATTCCATTTTGTCACTTGTCCTGTCTACTTAGTCACCTTTAATTTTCATAGATTTCTTTGCTTGTGACATTGACATTTTTGAAAACTGGAGTTGTTGGCTTACAACTGGGGTGTCAGTGATTGGTAAAATTCTCCCTACTTTACCTTAACACACCAGTTATAATAAAAATAGTAGTAATATTTACTGAACACTTAACCCTGTGCTAGTCAAAGGTCTTTACATATGTGAACCTTGAAATCCTCATAGCAGTATAGAAAACAGAGGCCCTGAGACATTATCAGTCTAACTTCTAAGAGATAGAGCCAGGATTCAGAAAGTAGTCTGTGGAATGCTGGCTCTTTACTACTGCAGTATAAGTCTACTAAAATATTACTTTTCTTCAAGGGCTACAGAATTGTTGGCTTTTTGAGACTGCTGAGCTGTATTAACTTCCTTTTTCCCCTTTTCTTTTGCAGCCTTTTACTTTTTTGGCTGTTAACACTGGAAATTTCCTCATTTTTCCTATTTTTACCTGAATCCTATAACTTCTTTTGTGCTTCTGTTGAACTGCTACATTGTAGTGGTTGTAATCTTTATTTGTATTCTCTTGTGATTGTAGTCTCAGATTTCTTTCTTCATCATGATTCTATTTTGTTTGTCCCAGATTTTACAGTCTGGAGTGTTTATAGAAACCTGGGGATTCTAGAAGACATCTCCAGATAGGCACAAAATTCTTCAGTACATTCTTTGTTCCTTCCTTAACTTTGGAAAATTTTAAGGAGTAGTAGCAGGCTGGTTTGTTTTTGATGAACCTATCAGTAGCTCTTCTGTTTTTTCCTCAAACTCAAATAGAAAATTTCCTGCTTTGGGCTTTCAGAGTAATAGTTTTCTTTCCTCACTATGCTTATTTTATTATAGTAATTTTCATTTTTTATATTAGACAGCTACTATACAATGGAAGGCTCTATTTTCACAAAATAACATTAAATATTAAATGAGTGTGTTCAGAGAAAAACTACCTTTGTTAATTATTTTATTTTGGAATCATTATCTGTCTTATTAGATGTTAATCAAGAAAATAATTACATTATTGGTTCATAAATGCATAACAGATGAAATGACATTCATGTAGTAATAATTATACAGTGATGATATACTAACAATATTATTTAAATAAAATCAATTTTTATTATTTATGGCAATGAGAAAAATCTCATTCATTGTTATGTAAATAACCACTAAATCCCTGGTATGAAATAACAAGAAGCATACAGTATATTTTTCCTTTTAAATTACTAGTTAGGTGTAAATATGGTCAGAAACGTATGTAAGGATTGAAATGTATTAAATTTATTTTAATACTGAAAAGTAATTTATTTTGGTACTAAGATAAATAGAAAATTAAAAATAGTATGAACTGAAAAGTAATAAGTGGTCTTATTATCTCTCTCTTAAGTGATCTGTGGAGGTAATGATGATTTTGTATTTGTATGGGGTTGTTAAGGATCCTAGAAAATAGCTTTCTACCTTGAAAAACAGTGAATAGCAACACTGAGTTTTTCTAAGGGAACTTTATTTACCAGAGAGTTTTAAAGTGGGTGATAATTCTTAGTTGATATCGAGGCAGTACATCTTACTTACTTAGCTGTGTATGGTGTTTGTTTTCAGATCACTTTGACAAATTTTACACTCTGGTTATCTCTTTGTAAGATGTGTAACTTTTAGCAAGCTCCTTAACTTCTCTTAATGTTATTTTCCTTCTCAGTTAAATGGAGCTAATGATACTACTTCATTAGTGTTTTTATATATGTAGATTAAATTAGATAATACGTGTAAAATACTTAGTGTAGTGCTTCATGTATTTTCAGTGTTTAATAAATGTTAGCTATTTTGATTATTGCCACCTTCATTACATATACATGTTTTTCAATTTCATTTTCCTAAGTTTTTAAAAAATATTTTGTTAAATTTACTTTTTAGTGTAGAAGGACACAGTAACTTTATTTTTATGTGGTGCTGATGATTGAACCCAGTGCCACACATGTGTGAGGTAAGCGCTCTACCGCTGAGCTATAGCCCCAGATCCTTGTTTTCCTAAGTTTTATTGACCTTTAATAAGTCCAACATGATGGCAGTTAGGGAGATTGAGGAGAACAAACTTAACCTTGGTCTTAACACAGGTATTTGTCTTGAGAAGTCCAAGTATCCTGTTATATTAGAATAACCATGACCAAAATTAAGCAAAATTCAACAATAAAAAAAGAGTAAGCAAATTTGAATTTGAGATAAAGTCAATACACTCTTTTTCAGTGGTATTCTAAATTACATGTAATTAATAATTTGTAACATTTAAATCTGAAGTGTATTCTGTAATTTCTGTGTTTTTTAAAACTGTTGACATGCTATTTTAATTATTTCAGAATGATGATATTGAAACAGATATCAACAAATTAAAACCCCAGCAAGTACCAGGACGAACAATAGAAGAACTAAAAATGTATGAACACCTCTTCCCTGAACTTGTTGATGATTTTCAGGTACAAACAGAAAATTTGAATGTTCATTGATTTTTAACGAAAAAAACATTTCCCCTCTTTCTCAGGCGTATAGTCACTGTTTTTCATTTACAAAAATGTTAAGTAAGGGGCTGGGGTTGTGGCTCAGTGATAGAATGCTCGCCTAGCATGCACGAGGCACTGGGTTCGATCCTCAGTACCACATGAATGTAAAATAAAGATATTGTATCCACCTAAAAACTAAAACTATTGTGTCCACTGAGAACTGGAAGTAGTATTGCTTTTCTGAGTGACATTGGATAATTAATGTCAACATTCCATGCTGCAAAATTGCTTATCTTCAAAATGAGTGGAGGTGGATTCTAGTTTTACAATTCTTTCTTACTTTGATGCATCTCTCCCCTTCTTCTTTTTTTTCTTTTTTGTGCCAGATATTCAACCCAAGGGTGCTTAACCACTGAGCCTCATCCCTAGTCCTTTTAATTTTTTTTATTTTGAAAGAGGGTCCTGCTTAGGGCCTTGCTAAATTGCTGAGGCTGGCATTGAACTCGAAATTCTCCTGCCTCAGCCTCCTGAGCCACTGGGATTACATGTGCATGCCACTGTACCCAGCTGGTACATCACATTTTTTTTTTAAGAATCCCCCCTCTTTTAAAATTTTATTATTATTTTTTTGTAGTTGTAGATGGACAGAATGCCTTTGTTTTATTTTATTTTTTGCTCTGTTGCTGACATGTGGTTCCTTAGATAAGTCTTTGAAATGGTTCAGGATCTTAAAATAAGTTTGAACCAGATAATCTCTAAGATTTGATTAGCGCTTTTTATAAACTTATTGCTCCCTAAGTTCCATACTTAATTCCCAGTTGCTTAAAGAAGGCTTTAATGTGAGGCTATATGTGAGGGGGGAAAAAACAAAAGAACAAGAAATATCTATTTACATTTCACTGTTCTAAAGTTCTAATTGCTCAGGTTTCTCTTTGCGAAAGAACTTAGGAGTCTTGGGTACAGTAGTAATAGATGAGGCACTACCCATCTCCCCTTGGCCCTAGTGTTTGAGATTTCCTGTAGATTTGAAGTGCTTTGGAAGCTACTTTGAAATTAGGAATAAGAGAAGGAGGTAAGGAATCAGGGAGGTCCACCCTAACCCATGCAAGGAAAGGAAATAAAAGAAAACAAAAGAAAAAGAGAGAAGGAGGCAGAAAGATGCATTTGGGAAAGGGTATGGAGTAATTTTCTTTCATTCAACCAATAGCAATTATCTATCTGCTCTTTTTAATGTGTTCACATCTAGCTAACAATCGCTTTAAAGTAAAACCCCAGAGATAACAAATACTGCTAAATCAAGGCATAAAACATATTTTTTGAGGAGGGCATTTGGGAGGGCATTGATTATTATGTGAAGAAATCACATATTATGTGTATATAATGTGATCATAAGTTGATGTGGGAATAGAGAAGTGTAATTTTATAATGGGTGTCAAGACCAGGATTTTGGTTTTCGTTCTTTCATAAGGCACTTCTTTCTTTTAGATCATGCTGCATGTCTACCTTTTAGATTCCCTGTTTCCTAATAATTTATTATCCAGAATAAGCTAGTCTTGAAGGTATCCAGCATGGCAACTTTTGAACAGCTGGCTACCTCCTTCTATAGTTTTCCTGCTCTTTAAGCGGGTAGTCACTTTTGGTCTGACTAGATGTGGTCATATTGTAAAGACAGGCCTAAGTGTAAGAGCTCTGGAAAGTCTCCTAAGTTAGTTCTTTTTACTGTGTTTAGCCAAAAGAAGATATTTCAAGTAGTATACATTTAATAATTCACAGTATATTTTCCCAGTAAATTTTATATAAAATAGTTAAAATATTTCTGTAATGTATGGAAAATAGCACATTGTCTTGTATTGGTGTAATTGGAAAATTATTTCTAAAATAGTTGTGTTAGCATTTGATAACCTTTCTCATTTTTAAGTTTCAGAGGAACGTACTCTTTCAGTATGTTAGTCTCTAGTGTTTGAAATGTATATTTGAATAATAGGCAGCAATATTAAGGGATGTACTGCCAAGTGTTAAAAAGATTGGTTGATTCCAGAGAAGAAGTGTTTGAAAAAATTTTATTCAGCCATTCTTATATCAATTTCTGGCAGATTATAAGATGTTATACATAAATGAAGTTAATTTGGATTATGACTTTTCCTACTCTGATTTGCCCATTGCTTTCAACATCACCCATTGAAGCTTAAAATGACTTGTGTTTGAATCCTGAGCACCACCCATTTTGTTTCCAGATGTGTAAGTCTACCACACAATGGCTAGAGGAGGCAAAATGGATGGTGTTTGAAGGCAGCATATATTATTATTAAAGTTAATTATCAGCAGACTTTTAGGGGACCTTACTGTCCTTTTAAAGCTATAGTTACAGTCATTTCTAAAGTAGTTGTTTTAGTACTTGATTATCTAATTTTTTAGTTTTAGAGGAACATGCTCTTTCAATACATTATTAGTCTGTATTTTTTGAAGTGTGTATTTAAATAATAGGCAGTCACATTTAAGGGAATTAGATTGACAATTGTAGTTTTATTTGCTCTAGTTTCTCCATGGCAGAATTTTTAAATTTATGTGTGGTAGCATAATGGCATTAACCATATAAATTGTTATATTTTATCTCCCCCCCTTTTAAATTTTGTTTTAAATTTTTCCCATGAAAGTTATCATGGAAAAGTTTAAAGAGTCATATTATTTGCCACAGTTAATCCTCTTTTGTTTTAGTCAGAGTTCTCTAGAGGAACAAAATCAGTAGGAAGTATAATTATAAAAAGGGGATTTATTGCGGAGAAGATGGCGGTGAGGGAGTGCATTGCCCCCGTGTGCTGCTTCACTGTGTGGGAGTATGACAAGTCAGGACGGCTAAAGGCTATCTTGTTAGGAATTTCCAGCAATAGTGGGGTGCTCCGGAGGAAGGATTTCCATCGCACGAGGATCGGCTACGGGGACTCAAACGCGAGAGGTTTGTCGCACGGAGCGAAACCGCCACCCGTGCCCGCAGGGTGAGCAGACCTGTGACCAACCTGCAGATCAGGCACAGCAGTCCGCAGGCGTGGTAGGAGGGGCAGGGCAGAGCCGCCGCCCGCGCCTGCAAGGTAGGCAGACCTGCGACAGACCGGCGGATCAGGCCCAGGAGCCTGCCGGCGTGGTAGCAGAGTCGTCGCCCGTGCCAGGAACAGGCCCAGCGACCTGCCGGCGGGGTAGTCACGACACCCCAATTGGAGTAGGGGCAGAGCAGAGCCACCACCCGTGCCCGAAAGGTGGGCATATCTGCGACCGACCAGCGGGACAGGCCCAGTGGCCTGCCGGTACGACAGACACGTCACCCCATTTGGAGTAGGGGCAGAGTAGAGCCGCCGCCCGCGCCTGCAGGGTAGGCAAACCTGCAACCGACCGGCGGACCAGGCCCGGTGGCCTGCCGGCGTGGTACACTCGTCACCCCAATTGGAGTAGGGGCAGAACAGAGCCGCCGCCAGCGCCCACAACAGGCCCAGTGACCTGCCGGCGTGGTAGTCACAACACCCCAATTGGAATAAGGAGAGAGCAGAGCCGCCGCCCGCGCCTGCAGGAAAGAAACGCAAGCAGTATGAAAAGACAAGGAAAGAAAGGACCACAAGCAATGCAGGTCAACGCAACTTTAGAAGAGGTAACAGCTGCAGCAGATGGAATGTCAGATAAAGAATTCAGGATATACATGCTTCAGATGATCTGGAGTATCAAGGAAGACATTAGACAGCAAAATCAGACAATGAAAGATCACTTTGACAATGAATTACTCAAACAAATCCAGGAAGCAAAGGATCAACTTTACAGGGAGATAGAGGTTATAAAAAACAAACAAACAGAAATCCTAGAAATGCAGGAAGCAATAAACCAACTTAAAAACTCAATGGAGAATACTACCAGCAGAGTAGAACACTTAGAAGATAGAACATCAGACAATGAAGACAAAGTATTTCAACTGGAAAAGAACATAGACAGCTCAGCAAGACTGTTAAGAAACCATGAGCAGAACATCCAAGAAATATGGGATAACATTAAGAGACCAAACTTAAGAGTCATTGGGATACAGGAAGGTACAGAGCTCCAAACCAAAGGAATGAGCAGTCTATTCAATGAAATAATACGAGAAAACTTCCCAGACTTGAAGAATGAGACAGAATCCCAAATCCTAGAAGCCTACAGGACGCCGAATGTGCAAAATCATAAGAGATCCACACCTAGACACATTATAATGAAGATGCCCAACATACAGAATAAGGAGAGAATTTTAAAAGCTACAAGAGAAAGGAAGCAGATTACATTTAGGGGTAAGCCAATCAGGATAACAGCTGATCTTTCAACACAGACTCTGAAAGCTAGAAGATCCTGGAATAACATATTTCAAACACTGAAAGAAAATGGGTTCCAACCAAGAATTGTGTTTCCAGCGAAATTAAGCTTCAGGATGGAAGATGAAATTAAAACCTTCCACGATAAACAAAAATTTAAAGAATTCGCAGCTAGAAAACCATCTCTTCAAAACATCCTTGCCAAAACATTACAGGAAGAGGAAATGGAAAATAACAATGAAAACCAACAGTGGGAGGTAGGACAGTAAAGGGGGGGAAAATAATCAAAGAGGAAAACAAACCATGTTTAGTAACAGAAATAAACAAATATGGCTGGAAGAACAACCCATATCTCAATAATAACCCTAAATGTTAATGGCTTAAACTCACCAATTAAGAGACACAGGCTAGTAGAATGGATCACAAAACAAGACCCAACAATATGCTGCCTACAGGAGACCCATCTGATAGGAAAAGACATACATAGGCTGAAGGTGAAAGGTTGGGAAAAATCATATCACTCATATGGACTTTGGAAACAAGCAGGAGTGTCCATACTCATATCAAATAAAATAGATTTCAAGCCAAAGTTAATCAAAAGGGATAAAGAGGGACACTACATACTGCTTAAGGGAAGCATACACCAACAAGACA